CTATGATTAATAGTGTCATTTCAAATCTAACCAAAGAAGTAAAATAGAAAGAAGTTATGCATCGAGATGCTTATTTTAAGATGGTTAACAATCAGGTGAAGATAGACAATATATAATATCGAGATTATAGTCTTAGTAATGGCTTGTTGTATTTCAAGAAGCATATTTATGTATGCAATAATGCTATATTTTGGACTTTAATACTTCAAGAAGGATATAACATTTCAATATCTAGATATTTGAGATGAAGAAGATTCCAGAATGAATCTCAAGGATATGATTTTGAACAACAAGCCATCTTGGATCCAAACAACAGAAGTTTTTGGTAAGTGTTGTTCAAGCTACTAGGCATATGACTTGTCATGTCTACAACCTTCTATTCTCAAATAGATGAACCAATAGAATGTGCAAATTGGACCTCAAAAGATATGCTACGGATATTTGTGGTAGTTCATCATAATAATTGGGATGAATACTTGACGCCTTTGGAGTTTGCTTACAATGATTGCATTCAAGAAAATATCAATCATTCAACATTTTTTCTTAATACCAATTAGCATCCGATTACACTAGCAACTCTCTATAGTTCCGTTGATACTAACAACCTCACAATAGAGGAATTTATACAACGGCTTACAATGACCTTACAAGAGGCATTGCACCACATTTTTATCACACAAAATCGACAGAAGTAGTATGCGGATAATTACCAACAACACAAGACCTTCCAAGAGGGTGATCAAGTGTTATTTTTCAATGCCAACTTGTCACTTGCTATATCAATCCAAATCCATAAACTAACACGTCAATGGCTTGGACCTTTTGGCATTTCTGTAGTAATTTTTGATATCACATATTGCCTCGAGCTTGTCTTCCATATTTTGCAACTGAGGGAATTTCATACTAAGCCAAAGCATTTTTCAAATCGACACCAACCACCACCACTATCAATTGTAGTTGATGACCAATAAGAATATGAAGTGGATAGCATTTTGGAACATTGCTACCTTTGTTGTGGTAGTGGATGTCGACAACTTCAGTACAAAGTTCTTTAGAAAGGTTATTCCATCCATAATGCAACGTGAAAACTTGCACAAAATCTCATTCATTGCCAAGAGACAATTTGAAAATACCATCAAGAGCAAAATGAGGACGTTGTGCATTAATATAAAAGGATTAATTGTAACAAGGTATAGATAAGTTATTTGTACATAGAAATAGATAGTTAGAACCATGGAAGTTTCTACAATTAGGATTAGATTAATGGACCAAGTAGGATCCATCATAGAATATTCTACAAAGAATTTAGGGTGATTATTTAAGTAGGGCCTACCATTGGACCTTCTAGAAAAGATTTAGGGTGGTTATCTAAATAGGGTCGATCATAAAACCTTCTAAAAAGAATTTAAGGCAATTATCTAAGTGGAGTCCATTATTTACAAATATTCTAGAAAGTCCATGGTGGTAGAACAAAGTATAAATAAGACTGACTAGGGCCTTTTGAGGCATCTAGTCAAGTATGGCTTCAAACTCTTTTTCTTAATATAATTAGATTTTGTATCTTTTTGTTTTGTTTCTATTCTATTTTGTTCTAATTCTAGTTGTTCAATTTTATCTTCTGTGTCCTATTTTGTTTAGTTCTGTTCAATTTTGTTCTTATCTGATTTGTCCTACCTTGTGATGAGGTTTTATGTTGTTTTGGATTAAAAGGGTCTTGGACACTTGAGTTAGACTGGTTCTATTTCACTATATCTCTTTCATAAAAATTCCAAATTTTACAAAATTTGCACCAAAACCATAGCCAAAAGCCTAAAATTCTTGATCCTAGCCTCTTAAATCTGAATGGCTTCAAAAGAGTAACCCTACTCCCTAAGAAGGCCTCAAGGAGCCTCTTTGAAGCCCATTAGATATGCGTTTTGGCCAATAATAATGGAGATTTTTATCATCTATCTCTATTCATCTATATGCATGCCCTAACTAACTCTTTTTGCTACTAAAATCCCTCTCCATCTCTTTCTTTTTTTATAAGATTTACATAATATATGTCTTAAATATTAAAAAAAAAAAATTTAAAAAAAATCAAGAATTACTAATATTTGATAAAGATGGCTCCAAATATATAAAAACTATTATCAACATAAAATCTACGTCAATACTAGTTCTTTTAAACTAACCACTTCAAAGTAGTAATCTAATCATACTTTGTAACCAAATAAAATCTAATAACATGGTTTCTACTACATTATATAATAAATTATATATTAGTATATATGTGCATTATTTTCACATAGTAGCCAAACCACAATATGATAACATAGCTCTTAGTTAGATAGTATATACAAAAATAAGTATGAAGCTTTTTATACTCTTATTAATGCCTTTGTAGTTTTTAGTCTTGTTTCAAGACTTTCTAATCTTCTTATCTTTGACTATAGTCATTCCAGTTTAATATTATATCATCTTTAAGTGATTTTCTAATCTTTTTGAGTAACACAAGAGTGTATTGACTTTTTAGTTCTTCAAAGTTCATATCCTTGATAATGAATCTGTTAGATTTGTTAGGACCTTATTGTTGTGATTTTCAATTTATCTTCCACAACCAAGTTTCAGATGCATTTTCAAGCAAGACTTCACATTATACTTCAATGGATGAGAAGGTCTAAAAAAATTACTAATTAACTTGATTAAGTTAGAATTATATCTAGACCAATAGAATTTTAATAATAAAAATAATTTAGACTAAATAGGCTTAAATAATAGTTTAAGGCAAATTAAAAATATTCAATCTATATTAAAATCAAATCTTATAATTGGATTAAAATTTGAATTATAAAATATAAAGTAGAATGAAAATACTTGATTTACTTAAGAATCAAATGTCATAATTAGATTAAGATCCAAATTATAAAATATAAGATAAAACAAAAATACTTGACTTAGAATTAGCATAATCATATAATGAATTCAGTAAAAATTTAGTAATCAATTTTTAAAATTCTTTAAATAGAAATATCTTGAATAAGTTATAAAAAAACTTTAGTTGTGAAGAATTTTTTACTAATTATATTTACCACTTAATATTTAATAATACCACTTTTATTAATACAAAAAGTAAATAAAAAAAATCTTTAAAATTAAGTGTGCATTAAATAGTCTAAATAGAATATATAATTTCAGTCAACTAACTGAAAAGAATTTCTACTATTAAAGTTCAAATCATTGGCTTTATGAAAAGAAATTTGAATCCTTTATTAGAGAGATGTAAGTTTTTTGTATCTCATTTTCTCTCAAACTTACACCTTCTAACTTTATTGAGTCTTTTGAACATCTTTTCAACAAATAAAATATTCTAAATTTAGAATAATTAAGGCCTTTGATTTGCAAAAACCATGAGCTGTAAAGGGAATCTATAATAATCAATAGTTCCATTTGATTTATACTTCTTACAAAAGATAAAACTGCTTTAAGCATGCATGCGTAGAAGTGTAACATGTGTTTAAGTCAGTGTGGTTAACGCCACACTCCTCTTCGCACACCACTTTGAATGCAGGCATCAGCGTCGCAAGCAAAGATGAGATGGGATGAGATGGACCACGAAGAAGTGCCACCAACGGAGGGTAACGCAACGCAATGCAGGGGCCTCCTCCGATGGCGCAGCACTGGTGTCATGCGAGGCGAGGCGAGGCGAGACGACGGAGAAGCAGAAGAAGGCAGACAATCTAGACAAGGCAGGGAGGATGGAGAATGGATGGGTCTCTCTCCATGCCACAGTGACTGACTGGCGCTGCTGCTTCATCCCAGCCTGGTCGCATGGAGCTGTCGCCTATCGCCGCCGCGTCCGCACAACCACCTTCCTCGACCTCTCAGGCACCAGAGACTCCCCCCTGGCTGTGCTGCAGGGTGCGAGTCCAAGAATATGGTATTTTGTCGCGGTCTTCACGTGGGGTTCACGTGGGGTCTGGAATCTAAGAATCCCGATGGTGCGTCGAATTGGTTGCTGCTTATGCGGCTGGGGCCGCGGTTGCGAAACGTCGTTGCTACATTGCTCCAAATCGGTCGATCCCAATTATTTATTGTCCAAGCCACTGCAGAATTCTAGTGCGTATGTTTATCTGGGTTTTTCATCATTGCGGCATTATGACCGTGGTGCTCTCCTCCCTGTTTGCTCACTCAAGCTTTCTCCCTCGAAGTTGACCTTCCATTGTCAGTTTCCTTCAGCGCCCAAGGTCGCGGTCTGCATGACTTTGCAACCTGACAGCGGTATCTTGGCCTTGAACAACGGTGCATTTAACTCCTAAAGTTGTTCTACATTTTTCACAAGGTGTGCATCACTTGTGACGTGTGACCTTTTCTGTCCGGCTTTTTCCGAAGATATTTTCCTTGGAAATCAAATCATTATATCACTATGTTGACACTATGTATAGATGGACAGGAGACACCTTTGAATTTACCCCGGTTTTTGTAGGTGGAAGTTGTTCTTCTGTTGAGTCCTGATTTGTGTTTGGCATCTATTCATCGAGTCTGATGATATTTCGAGATTCGAACCGAGAAAACTTGCAGGACCGTCGAAATTTGTCTTCGCGTTGAAAATTAGTGCCCGAAGTGTTTGTAGACTTATCCTGAAACTATCCGCTATTCCTGCTCTACATTCTAGGTGGTATGGCCAGCAGCATAAAAAAATTTAACCATTTGCTGGCCGTCACAGTAGTTGTTCGTTTGTTGCCGCACCATATTACTGGGTTCATGTCCTGGCAGTGGAACTGAGATGTCGGTGGTGGCGCCAAGTCCTCCCTGGGACATGGGCCCAGGACTCTGTTGTCGTGTTGAAAAATACTATGGTCGAGCCAGATACATAAACTGGAGGATGGCGACTTCCCCGGGGCTTGAGATGGCATGCGCTCTCCCCATGTCGCCCATGTTCCGCCCATACTTCACGCCAGCCGTCGTGCTGGCTTGTACGATTAGTAATCTCCGTGGAATCGAACACTGCTGCAATGACAACTCACCACCATGTTCAAGCTACGACCAAGTGCTATCATCTCTGCGTTGCTCGTTTCCCGTTGTCGGAGTTTTGTGTCTATGATCAATGTCTCCAGCCCGGAAGGAGTCGAGTTGTATCGTGGAACTTATTCGATATGTGATTACTTCGCATATCGCTAACATTCGGTTTGATACTACACGTAGTGTGTTGGGGTGGTCTAGTGAAGGCTGCAAATTCAGTCGACGCATCGATCGAAGTGCCCTCAACTGAATCGGATCAGTGATGATGATGTTGCGTTTGCAGTGCTCCTGCCAATCGTTGCTATAAATATTCTGATTTCTTCTGAGTTTTTAATTTTTTTTCTCGTGCTGAATCAGTGTTCCTTCGAGTTTATCAGAAGTGGGGGTGCAACACCAGTAAAACTCTAATTGTGTGATCATGATCAAGCCGCGACCGCTGCACTGCTTGAGATTCTTGGAGTTCAGTGGTAATCACTCGTATGCAGGTCTCGATACCAGAGTCCGATCTCTCAGTCGCGTGTTAGACCCTCTTTCAATGTGACGAGTAATTCTCCTTAGCAAACTGGGTTGTTAAGCAGGATATATTAGAATCGAGCACGTAGATACTTCGGGAAAGGTTAAAGGAATGATTTGGAAGATTGGTTCCGTAGAAGCAGAACATGAAACACCAGGGGTCTTCTGAATATGGTGTCGACAATCCGCTGCCGGAGGGTGCTTCAGCGGATATCTGCCTAGTGCGGAGAGTCTTGTAAAGTCTGATGTATGAACTGAAGAGAGGATCATCTCTAATTCCAAGAGGGAGTCCTCTGTTTTTTTCTGACATTTTTGATGGTGAGCCTTCGGACATCTGATCCTAGTGATAATGTGTCAGTGATCGAGATTCTGCTGCTGTTATGGCCATACACTGCAATGCAATTAATTCACACCTTTCAATCTGGGTGTCAACAGGGAAGAGAAACAGGAAAGAGAAAAATCGGCGAAGCTGAACCGCTGAAGCTGCCGGTAGCAAGTTCTATGCTGCCTCCTGTAGCAGTCGACAGGTTCGGCGTCATAAATGTTCTCAACACTGACAAGTTTGGTGCTCTTCGAGTCCTGGGAGAAAGTAGACCTAACGTCTGCCGCCGCATTAATAACACGGAAGAGTCCAGTACAGGATCCTTGACCTCATTCTTGCAGAATATGCAGGGTGGAAAGGATTGGCAACGCGTAGATGCGATCCTTTCTACAGATGGTGAATCTACTATGAGCAACAACGCATCTGAAGGTGTAGAAAACGAAGGAACCAGCTCACATCTATACGATCCATCATCTCAATTTTCTGCACCTCTCTGTAGCACTATTCAAGAGAGAACGTCTAATAGCAGTGGAGCTGGTCGACTACCCACAATGCGTTTCTGTCCACCTCCAAATCATGTGAGTGATCTGAGCACTTCAAGCCAAACTGTCTATTATATTTCCCGGTCTAGGTGATGCGAGAGGTTAAAGTAGAATCCAAGAAATTTAATCGACTGTATAGAATAGACTAACAAAATTCGAATCATCAAGCATAACTCGAGTGACCCGGATCGAGATAGCAATGGCTTTCAGCTGACACGAAGGTAGGGGTCCCAAGCAGTTATGTAGTTAAATTTATGATCGAATGAACGCCATCCACAGGGCCGATTGGTTTCGCTTGCTATGGGCAATTCTGAAACTGCATTTGAACCGACTTATTCATTCGTGGATTCTGGTCTTTGTCAGAATGCTGAAGGCATGCAAAGGGAATCTGGACTCTCTCCAAATGGACTTACAAATCTCAGTGCGGCAGGGCATAGCTCTGACCGCAGAACCAACTCTGGATCTTTTCACCCAAGTCACGAATCTAGGTACTCAGAATCTGATCCCCCCAGGGCAGCTGCGTCCCTGCCTCCACCCACTGTGCGTTCAAACGTCGGCAGTACTGCACTGACATCTGCAGATTCAGTGGACGATCAGAAAGTCCCCACCTCTCCATTCATTGTGGCAGAAACCCTCACCAGGCAATCCCAAGATTCTACCAATTCAAATCCTGCCTCCGCGAGGTTTAGTTACAGATTTGCCTCTTCGGGTCTACAAGCTTCCTTACTTGAGCGTATGGAACAGCGGCAGAGAGAGCAGGTGGGAGACCATCTCACAACCAAGCTTGGCATTTGAATACCTGAGCAATACGTCAAGCTGAGTATGTACTGATTAGGTGAAGATCCATTGTGGTTGGTATTGTGGCGGGGCAGGATGATCAATCACACCGAGCAGATCCTCGATGTGGTCATGTCATATCACCAGAGGTTAGTCTTGGGCGCTCATTCACATTCACACTGAATTTGGTGGACGCAGTCGCAAATTCGCAATTGGTAATCAACATTAATATGTGAATCATCCATACGCAGGACTTAATATGGGGGAGTGTGAAGCAGTACTGTGGCATGGTGTTAGATAAAGAAACCAAGACTCTTCTTGGAACTGCTATTCTTGTCATACCTCAAGACCAGCAGCTGGCGCAGCAAGGATCCCCTTTTCCCAAATCAGCCTGGGTGACATGTGTGAAAGTAGTGGAAGGCCGCGCAGAGGTCCTCATTAAGAACAGCAAAGGTGCCATCCATGTGGCGCAGCTCCTGCTTACCAGCACTGCTCTGGGTTTAGCACTTTTCAGCGTGCATGTTTGGCCAGGAACTTTCGCGTTGGCCTTCTTGAGAAGAGTCTCTGGACCCAGTCGTCTCCCCCACCGACTCTTTGTGGACGTCGACAGAAGCGACCGAGTCTACGTTTTAGGGTAATTATCATATCAGGTCACATCAGTGTACCATTGTTACAAATTTCTTACCAAGTCCGTTTCATCACACGTTGAATTAAGTTTGTGTATTGCTCGTGATTCAGTATTGAGTCAGTCATACGGTTGTTGCAGATACGAGGAACCTTGGGAGTCTGAATCCGGAGCCGTTGCTGATGTGAGGGTGCGACCAGGAAGGATTGTTGATGCTGGGAGGAATACAATTGTTGAGATCGACTTCACCACAGGGCAGTTGGGTGGTTCCATAGATTTTCCAGTGGGCTTCAGAGGCGGCTTAGTTGTGCGAGCGGATGGACTTCTAGCAGGGGTAGTAACTGGTGATCTCCTAGCTAATCACAGAACCAAAATCGATTTTTGCACCGCTTTTAATGTCTACTCTCTCCTTGCGGAGCTATAAGAATCTCTTGCAGAAAATGTTGTATGTAGAGAGGATTGTTACACGACGTAATGCAACAAATGGAGCATCAGGGGATTTTTTATTTTTTTAATGGCATTTGTCCATGACTACTTTCGAGTTTCAAACGCGAGAGATCGGTGCTAGGTGTACACTTGAGAAGTTACTGTCACATCCTAAAATCGTGTAATTTTTTCATTTAGAGTGCGAGAGTTGGACCTTTTCCACAATTTTGAAGATTGAGTACATGAAGTGTAGATTGCATACTCAAGGGGGTGGCTCTTCCGAATTTCCGTGATCTTACATACTAATTCAACTCAATCATATCCTACCAATATATTCACAGAGGATGAAGATAATGTCCTTGTACACAATCTTTGCAGGAACTTTCAGTGAGTCGGAACGCCGAATTTCTCTCTTATAATGTAGAATTCAGAATGAATGGTATGTTGCCCAACACACACTCTTCGACACACATTTAACACCTACATGTGAAATTACAAGCAATGTGTCATGCGATATTGTTTTAAGATAACAGCAGTAGTTGTTGGAAAGAAAACGCTATTTTCAGTGTTTCTACACCAGTAACCTCCTAAAAATGTGCCTGCATGACTAAATCATAAATCAGCAGCTCCGATATCCTCTACAAAACATAAGCACTTCTTTCAAGCATTATTAATTGTGTAAAGACTACCTAATTACGACTGCAATAACTAGGATGAGGTACCTTTGAGTTGGCTGGCTTCTTATGTTGCAAGAGTAAGTAAGAAATGGGTGTTTTCTCTACAATTTCTCCTGCCTCTTGAACAGAGCCTTTCACACCTAACTTGACAGCAGTGTAGGCAACTCACTCAACTATCACTTCGCTGAGGTAAATCATAGCACTATTGCCTATCAACTGTAATAAATAATCTTGCAATAAACTTATTATATTATTACATCTTAAATAATCTTGCAATAAACTTATTATATATTATTATCTAATTTAGACCATTTATTATATTTCTCTATAAAGAATTAAATGGATGCAAGTAATAGACATTACTAGAAATTAATTTTGTCTTTACTTGTGTATGTTGTCAATTTTGTTGGTTCTTAAACTAGTGTTTATTAAGTAGTGTATTTAATAACAAGGTATGGAATATGTTGTAGTCACTACATCTAAATAAGGATATTGATGCAAATCATATATGTTTTTAATTTTAAGGATTAAAATATTAAGTTTTTAGATTTAGATTTTAGAATTATAGGTTGAAATTTTTGGCTTATAAGTTTATACACTTTAATTTTATACTTATAAAATTAATTTTTTAACAAGAATATATTTAGTGAGTTTTTGAATTTGTTATCTTTTTTATTTTATATTCTTAAGAAACAATTGTATAATAAATTTTTTTTGAAAGTTTTTAGATTGCTTAATGTTGAGGATTTGGCTTATTTGGTTTCTGAGTTAATATTATAAATATCTAGTTTTTAAATTTTTTGATATGATATACATCTTTATTTTGAGATCCACTAATCTCATAGTAGATTTGAATAAGATTTTGATTTTATTCAAATCAGTTTAGAAATTGGTTTTTATTCAAAATTTCACCTACAAATCTATAAATTTTTACTAAAACGTTTTCTATTGAATCCAAAAAATTCTCCAACATGTAAATCCAATTTATTTCTCAAACAACAAAGTCGTCAAAATCCAACTCTAATTTTGTGTAGCTCTCACAAAGTCATTGCAAACTCAAAACCTTCAAAATCAATTATCATATAAATCTCTTTAAGCTTGCTTTGTATTCTTGCTCTTCAATCAAATCTAAAACTTTGCATTTTTTGTAGGTGTATAATTGTATGGCTTGGGATATGGTTTCAATTCTAACTTACAACTAGTCTTTCTAATGTATCAATCAAAGGTTTTTACATGTAAAGTTTTGCTAGAAACTATCATTTATTTTCACTTAGAGATTCTTGTAGTATTATTTTTTTTTTTATCTATTTTGTTTGTTTGTTTGTTTGTTTTTTTTTTTTTTTTTTTTTTTTGTTTATGGCTCTAAAAAGTAAGTAAAACTTCTTTTAATGAAAAATGACAACATATACACTATTTTTCTACTTCTTCTTATCTTTTATCTATTATTTCTAAAAGAATTTTCTACTATATTTTTAATAAAGTCATTTTAGATTATTTGTCTTTATATACTCTTTCACATGATTTCCATATTACAAACATTACCATTAATATTTTATTTTGTAAGTAATTATTAGAATGACACAATTTAAAATAGAACAATGGTTAGATTTCTTAATTATTAAGCCAACTACTTTAGCATATAAAACAAAGCTAAAAAAGTATAAACTTCATTTATAGAATAATTTGGCAAACTTGGCACAAATTCTTAATCTACACACATTTAATTCCTCTTGCATAGCCCAATTGATGAAGCTCTCAATTCTATGTATTCTAATTGAGAGATATAAATAAAAAAATCATTTGTCATTCACAATACTCTCACTCAACCAGAGCAAAGCAATGCTTCAAAATTATTCCAAATGACTTAAAAAGATAAAAATAAAATAATCTTCATATAATAATTAATGAAGTCAAGTCATTCCATGAATCCTTAAGCAAAACCAATGAATTATATAAGAATACTTTGTTGTCATGGAAAAACATTGAGACTCTTTAATTTCTATATATAATCAAATTTTCTCAACATATTTTTATAATCATGGAATCTTTAATAGTTTAGAATTCTATTTTTAAACAAAATACAATTTATTCGAAGGAATTGTAGGTAATTTATAAGTACGAATATTGAAATTATGATAAAAATGTGTTTTAGGATCTAACTTATGATGAAATGCGATGATTGAAAGATTTGACAGGCTTAAATATTTAACCAATTAATTAACTAGATAGATCAAAGTTGTAATTAATTAACCACTAAAATCTAATTAATAATTAATTGGGCCCTTAATTGATTCCATCATCATTTCAATTCATGGTCTTTCAAGGTGGTTGTGTCTACACCATAAATTCAATGTTTGTTGTTTTTGTAGAACTGCTACATAATGTCAACTTTGGATGTGGTTATGTGTACTATGTTATAAATAGTCCTAGATCTGCATTAAATCATAAACAAAAGATGATCTTATAGAAGAACAAAACCAAGGTCAATCTACTTGGAAATTATTACAAATGGTTTTCTTGATATTACAATTTAAGATGTGGACTTGATTCTAAATGTTCAAAAACCACAGATTGATCATTGCACCTTGATGTGGTATTCTCCAAGCACTCTGTTATTAGAATATTGACAAATATGTAATAGAGAAAGGCACACACTAATATTCTCTTCTACCCTTGTCTTGACTTGTTCTTGTGATGCAGGCAGTACCTAGACTGTATCACAAGTATGATACAGGAAGCTAATTTTAGCCTCACCTTCTAAATAAATCTGCATCAATTGTGGAGTACGTTGACTAAATTACTTAATTTTGCTCTTGTTATTTTCAGATATGACCAACAATGATCGCTATGAAACTAAAAACAACTTTTGCACTCAACCATGGATGGTGTAACAACTCGAACTGTCATAAGCTGGATGCTGCAACAAATGAGTGTCAGGGATGTCTGTAGCAATGCGTGTTTTCTTTTTCAACAGATTGGCTTACTGGGAGTCTACACAAGTGGATGCGTTGGTACAAGCACTAACATCTAGAATAATTTCTCTCCCCACACTTTCAACTAAACTTGTAGAGATTGAATGTTCATACTGTGTAAGAAAGTTTAGCATGACTTGTGAATATGTAATTGCGTCGCTTTTGGTAGATGGTTTAATGCAAAGGATTCAGCGTTGGCAGAATGATTGTAGGGCTTCCTTCTATCGACTGACACAACTCAAAATCATTTCTTAGCAGAATAACAACAAAATTGAAGAGAACCAAATCAATGGTGATCAAGGCAAAGGATGATGATGGAATTCAAAATATTCAATTTTAAATGTTGACAGTTTGTCAAGGAAGCTGGCAATCTGTGTGAAGAGCCCCACAATGAGTTTGTGTCCCTATTATGCAAACTCTTCAGGAATACTGGCTGCTGTGTGTTCGGAGCAAAACCCTGTGCATTGCAGATCCTGAGAGAGTTTCATGGGACTGTAAATCCTAAGTTGTGACATTCTTCAAAGCACAATTTTGCGGCTAGGTGACTGAGATGACAATGAGTATATAAAAAATTCAGCATTAGAATGAGGGATCTCACCTTGTTTTTCACTGTTTTTAGTTGAACCAGATTCATCAATATCATTCAACTGATCTTCAGATCTCACATATTCTCTTGGGATTGAGTTTATTGAAGTTCAGCCAGCAACCTGAAAGTTCTATCCCCAATGCCGCGACTCTGAAATAAAAAAATTTGGGAAAATTTGAAATCTAGCACTGATTTCTGAGGCATTTGATCCCTTGATTGCGCCAGATCTTCCTCAATCTCTCTTGCTTGGTCAAAATGATGATCCAAGTGGGGATAGCTGACTTGTTTCGCGGTCCCACTCTTCTTGCAGGCTCTGAAGCTCTTTCAGCAATTCTTGCAAATTCTTTCGCAGCTCCGTCTCCATCAGTGTAATTCGATCACATTGCCACTCGAGTTGGGAGCGTTTCACCGCAATTGCCATGTCACGTTTGTCTTGAAAAACCTTGAGCTCTTCAGTTTTCAGCTGGATTTCCCCTTGCAGCTCCATCTCAATCTGGTGAATTTGATCACGCTGATGCTCCTGTTACAAGTGAACTTCCAAGACGGCCTTCTCACGCTCTTCTCGTGCAGTTTGAAGTTCGTTCGTTACTCGCCGCAGCTCCATTTTGAGTCCCATCTCAATCTCATACACCAGGTCACACTGTTGTTCCAGCTATGCATGCTTCTCTGCGATTGCTCTGTCACGCTCCACTTCTGCAACATTGATCTTCTTGAGTGTTCGTTGGAGTTTCCCCTGCAGCTCCATCTCTATCTGGTGCACTTGCTCGTGCTGATGCTTGGATTGCGTTTCCAGTTCTATGCATGCATCATCATGTTGTTTCTTTGCCAAGACGAAGTCTTTCTTGGCTTTCTGAATCTCCATTCGCAACCCCATCTCGACCTTGTGCACTTGATCACATTGCTGCTCCAGTTGCAACTGCCTCCTGCCGATGACGTCATCACCCTTCTTACTTGCAACTTTGAGCTCCTCATTGGTACAACGGAGCTCCATCTCTATCGACCGTATCTGGCTAAATTTTTCACCGAGCTGCATTTGACTTTCTGCAGTGTAGGGGCCACGCTCTCTCTGTGCAACTCGAAGCTCCGATGTTCGGGACTCACACTCCACAACATCACCTCTCTGCTGATCCTGTGTACAGCTCACACTCGGCGTCGTGTTCCCTCCATCTTTCTCCTCTAATCTCAAGGACGGCACTCGAATATGCGTTCTCTGACGAGCAACCTTGCGCTCCAGCGCATTTCTGTACGCTCTTCACAATCAAATTTAACATCTGCTTCAAAAAATGCGTCACTTCTTAATTTAACCCTCACTTACCCCTCATCTTGAACCTCGCAAATCAACTCCTACAATAGGCTTACAATGTGGGGTACTTCGACTAAAGGCCGCCTCCACAAGATCCACATCATTCGCAAACCACGTAGCCGGTGGAACCTCCAGCTCATCAACACCCTACTACCCAACAAACCCTCGCAATAACTTGTCCGTGAATCAGTTTACAATCCCGAATTCAAGCTTGACTCAAAGCTAAACCAAAAAATCACAACGACACAAGCCTTAACGAAATATCCTCCAAAACAGGGAATTGGGCCCTGGCATGTAGCAAAATTTTACAACAGATTCAAGAACCATCGAACGCTCGCATGATTAACTCCTGGGGAAGACAGGATCTGCTACATGCAGTAATGTATTATGACAACAACTTGTGGCAAGCCGGCGCCACCTTCAAATACGTACAGTCCTGTAGACATATACGTGGTGAAGCACGAAGACTAAACTCTCTCGTGCAGGTTCTGAAGTAACGATTTGGGAGTAATTAAAGGGCTTTCAATTCAAGATACTACGAGAAAATGGAACAATATCACGGCCTCTCGCGTTCCGTTGAATGAAGATTGGCCATTTTCCGGGGTACTGTATGGCTTACAACGACGGGTAATTGCTCTTGTTGCGAACATGAGATTGTGCAGGTTTTCAGTGTTCGTGCCCTGAAAGACCAGGTCGTGAAGTCGTCTAGGGTTCGTTGGCAGTCCGGTTCTCGTTTGACTTTGGACGAGTCATGCCTTATTTTAGACGTTGCGTTGGATGTTTTTCGGTACACATCGTGGGTATCGTCGTGTTTCAGAGTTCGGAGGTGAGGGAGCTAAGAGAGCTCGACGCTTTGACGTGAGGCATTCGCAAGACGCGGGAACATTGTTTTCGGTGCACTGGATCGGTCCGGCCCGTCAAGCAACATTTCATCGCCACTTGTGAGCAGGTGGAATTTTTTGAGCATGAAAGGCTTACTAATTTCTTGAACTGGAGTGAGTCTTCGTTTATCGTCTTGTGATGTGTCTGTTTGTCATATTGCCTCGATTCTGTGCTTTCAGCGGGTCTGCCCTACTTGGAGTATCTTGTAAAACGAGGATTCTGAAAATTTCGGTAGGAACTATGTTGTTTGGTGATTATTTCGAAAAGTTGCATCTTCAGCAGGCAATTTGCGTTGCGCTGTACAGAGGCATATCATAATCGCTAGATAGGCGGAATTTTGCGAAGCAATTGATTTCATTTCTGTTTCAATTCGTGATGGCCTGATGCAGACGCCCAACAATGAGAGAGATTTTTAAGTGAGCTCATTTTTAGTCCTGTTACTAGTGAAGTTTTCGCCGTTGTGTTTAGTGCTCGTTCACAGGGTTTTTGATTTAGTCATGGCAGTTACCGCCTCGTCAAGACAAAGTTTTTGAGACAATTTGGACCTGAAGCCTCTACAGCACCACTATAGAGATGATGGTTTTTTTTCTTTTCTAGTTTTAGTTCATCGTCTCTCAAATGGAATATTGGGAATTTGACGACGTAAGAAGTCCTTTGGGACACCTCGTTTTATAAATAAAGAAAATCGCTGAAAAGTTGCGGAGAACTATGTCTCTTATGACGACTGACTCACTTTTGTGGCTTTTGTAGGCATGGCCGCAGGTGGGGTGCATCAGCTGGCGCAATGCATCACATGCCATGCCTGGAATGCTGATATGTCAAGTACTTGACCACTCCTTTTCTCCACATTCTCAATTTCACAGGCTCCTCTTCAATAGGGTTTGTGATTGCAATAATGACATCACACCTTCGCGGCTGATGTAGTTTTCAGTTTGGCATATGTTGAGTTACTCTTTCAAGTGATTCTCTTTTAGGCTTTTTTCTTGAGGGAAATGGACTTGTGCACCAATTTTGATTTTGTATTGGAATGCAGTGGTCGCTATCTGTCCGAACAATAGCGAGGTCCACATCTACAAAGCCTCAGCATCTCCGGAAGCAGTATGGGAGCGGGTTTATGTTCTTGAGAAGGTACGTGCTTGTTCTCTTCGTGAGAACGATAAGCTTTAAGTCTGCAAGCCACCAACACTGGAGAACGCTTGCAGAACACCATTGTGGCTGATGCAAATCTTTTTAAAGTCTAGTAACTTTTGGCTTCTGAACCAGTGAAATAGACAGAGGGTATTTGAAACTCGTTTGAGGCATGTTGGTTGTTTCGGTTTTGCAGTTAAGGTAACTCGAATCCTTGGCATTAGAACCTAATAGATTCAAATTGTAATTATTAGGAAGCGTTTGATTATTGATAGGTTTCAAATAGATTGTTTTTACTAACTTCAGTTGGTTTTCTTGGCTGCGTTGTATGTACATTGGTGCAGCACGAGCAATTGGTTACGGGCATCGATTGGGCACCTAAGAGCAATAGAATTGTTACCTGCTCTCATGACCGAAATTCGTAAGTACATGTAGTTATTTTGATGGACATGACAGTTGTATGATGTTGCTAGCACAAGAACTTCTGTATTCTTGAATGGACTACATATTTCCTTTTTGGAAATCATATAAATAGGAAATTATTTTTGACCTCCAGTGTTTTGAATATTCTGATGAATGTCCTCTGCACGTGGGAATTTGACATCAAGGAGGAGACTATATGTAGGGCGTACATGCTAATTTTTGCATAGCATTTTATCCCATTTCAGTCATTGATGTCGACTGTCGTTGGTACAGATATGTGTGGTCACTAGAAGATGGTGAGTGGCAGCCAACGCTGGTCATCTTGCGTCTAAATCGAGCTGCAACCTCCGTAGAGTGGGGTCCTCAGGGTACACCATTTCATCCTACTTCTTCTTTCATCTGGGTAGCGAATTTACCGCAATACTGACTCTCAATTTTGTAGTGTTGTTCTCGTTCTGTAGAATAATATCACAGGTATTTCGAAAAACTTCCAGGAATGAGCTGACGTGTATAGATTGCAGTTTCACAAGCAGTTGTGGATATCTTTCCTTTCGTACGCAGAAAATAAATTTGCTGTGGGAAGCAGTGCCAAGACTGTTTGTGTATGCTACTATGAAGAGGACAACAACTGGTATCTTTTAGCTTTAGTTTTTTATTTGATGCAGGACCCTTTACATCTTGTTTCTTCTGAAGCCTTTGAAGTTATTATTGTCATTTGATTGATTTGTGAATCTAGGAAAGAGCCATGTAATTGTAATTGGCCATTTTAAATTTCTTCATGAAATGTTTTTGGCATTAACATGGGTACAAAGACTGGTATCTTGTGTCTGGAGGTAATCTATTTTGTTCTCATGCAGGTGGGTGAGCAAGCTAATAAGAAAGAAGCATCATTCCACTATTACGAGTGTATCCTGGCATCCAAATAATGTACTCTTTCCTATCATCACCTGTGCCATCAATTTGTGGTTTCATATTTACTTTGATTCTTCTAATTTTTATTGGGCACTTCATATGTAGGTTCTGTTGGCCACAACATCGACAGATAGCAAGTGTCGAATTTTTTCCGCGTTCATTAAAGGAGTTGATGCGCGGTTAGCTAATGCTCTGACCTTCTAATCAAATCTCTAGATGAAAAAACATTTAATAAAATTACTACCGAGGTCCTGGTATTGCTTTTGAAGGATTAAATAGCTGATGAGAAGCTTGAAAGTTTAAATAAAATTATAGTTTACATGCAATCTAATTGAAAAGTGAGATATGCTAGAATACCGTAGGTTAAATTCTAATATGTTTCATTATACATGGATGTAAATGGTATGTAGTTCACATTACGTTATATTCCATACTGATAATGATTTGTTTGGATGTGTCAGAAAAGATGGAACGACAGCATTCGGTGACGTCAAATTTGGAGAGGTGTGCTGTGTTTTCTTCGATACCTTCAAATTTTGTGTTCACCAGTGGCATGTCATTGGTCTCTCTTGGTTTTAGTTTGGGGAATTCCAACGCATTTATGACCACTTAGGGTGTGTGTGTATATGCATTTTAGCATTTTCGATTTACTTATTTGCCTGATGATAAAAAAGGATGGCAGTAAACAAGTTTCTTTGTTTGTAGACAAATGTGCAGTCATCATTCTCTCGCTTCAAGTATTTTAGTCCAAGTATATTTTTTAAATCATGCAATTGTCTTCATGTTTATCAGGAGTTGATTCAGTTGGACCTTGCTTGTGGCTGGGCATTTGGGGTACATTGGTCACCAAGTGGAAATAGCCTGGCCTACGTTGGTGAGTACGGCGTAGTCCTTATGATTCCTTATTCTTTTTCTTTGGTAAATCTGTCAAATAAGGAAACAAGCTGGCAAGATGGCGCTTCTTTGTTATACTAAGATTACCTTGATGTGTGCCCTTTATTACGTTTACTGCTTAGAGGAGTGAAGAATGGTTTTAGTTCTTCAGTTTCTTTCACGTAGGGTACAGGTGCTGTGCATAAACGTCTTTTGGCATTATGCTTTATCGTAGATAGACGAAGTTTCGTATTTCATTGACAGACACTTAATCAAGTTTCCCTGGTGGAAATGGAAGTGATCTACCATTATTCATTGGAAGCATTCGTGGTCAGACATAGGCTGTATCCGAGTTCGTTATCATGTTCCATGTACTTCAGATAAAACTTTGTTGTTTCCAACACGTTGAGTCTGGCATCATCAATGGTCAGTTCTAAGCATGTGCTCATGTGCTTGGTATTGGTGAAGGGCATGATTCGACTATTCACTTTGTCACGGATGTCGGGCCAACCCCAAGTGCGCGCTCTATAAGCTTGCGTCATTTACCCCTGCGTGATGTAGGTCAGCTTTCCCTGACTAGTTTTCTTTATTAAAACTGTCCCTGAATTTAGTCATGAATTTTGCAGACTCTAGAATTTGTCCATTCCGTTTTGTTAGCTAAGCATTAGGGATCCCAACTTGAAGACTACCATGACGTAAATCTTCCAAAATTACAATGGAAATTGGCCATTACTTGCCCGTTCTGGTTTAGTTGTGTCGTTAGTGAGTAAGCGATTGTCAGGTGTCTTCTCTCCTTACTGTGCTTCAGGAGCGCCTCATGAGAGTCGGTTCTTTATTGTCCTGATCGTCATAGGGTCCCCAAATCAGAGAATATTAAAAAAAATCTTTTGCATCATAGGGATTTATTACAGTTAGTATTTGGGATTCGGTCTTGAGATTGTATTTGTGCTCATCACTGTACCTTGTGATTTGCAGATTCTGTTCTTATCAGAGACAAGATTGGTAGCTGGAGGGTTTGATTGTAATCCCATGCTATTTGCATCCGATAAAACTGGTGTTTGGTACATTGCCTAGCACTCTTCTCAAGATTTGAGCGTGACAATAAGATGTAGATGGACTGTTCTTTACAGAGTTTGGTGTGGTCCACCGCTGGCGTCCAACCCTCCTGTTTTGGATGCTAGTGAAGAATTTCCCTTTGATATCTGATGTGGACATGACTGCTCAACATTTTTACTCTTATTCGGCTGTTTCTCTGAATTGTAGGGAATTTATTGCTTTCCTGGACGAGGTGAAACCTCCTGCGGAGGCTAAATCTGATACTCTGGTACAAGACTATGGGAACTTGTTTTCACTTCGTGAGCTTCATTACGGGATCTTTTTATCCTGCATATGTCCGCATATGATTATGGGCGTTGTCATGTATTTTCTGTGAAAAGTCCTGGGTTAATGAAGGTTTTGTGATTATCCTCTACTTTGAGTGCAGTTTGCTGCAGCTAAGGGTAAGTTCAAGTGGCTGGGTAGTGAGCTTTCTGAAGAAAATGCTCCCACAACCACTCATGAAAATTGCATCACGTAAGTCTTACTTAAACGCTCCATCTTTTAGTTTGACGAACACAAGCATATGATTGGTTTTTTGGACTACGCGGCAAGTACAAGAATTGTGAGTAATCATCATGTGACAAAGTTGCTCGATATCGCAGGATGATTCGTTCTCTTGTGCCCTTTTCAGAAAGAAACTCAGAAAAGTCTATTGAAGTGTTCAGCACATCAGGTACTGTAATAAAATTAGCTTAAGCTTACATAATTCGCATTTGATAAGCAAAATTGAAAAATGAAAATAAAAAATCATTATTATTCGTTTTTACGGATATCTCCTTACTTAACTAATACTATTGTCGTATGTGCTCTTTGAAATCTTTGTGCAGGTTTAGATGGCAGGATAGTCATCTGGGACTTGAACAACGTGGGTGACGGTTTTGCTAGACTTCGCTTATGATATGAGGTGTTGTTTTTTTGTTTTGTTCCCTTTTTATTTATTTCTTCATTACATTGCAATGTTTGTAGATAATGTGTCGGATCTTGTTTTCTTTTGTCGTATTATAGTCTTTTCTGAATCCCTAACCGCGTCTTAACTTGAGAGTCTGCAGTCAAACAAGGGATGGAGCAAGCAGTGGATACCACCCGTGGAGGAAGCCAAAAAGGTTTTAGAGAGGCTGAAGAGCTGCATCAAGCCCGAAGCAGTTGAGGAAGCAGTTGAGAAACTCAAGTCCAGTGTGCTCCCACAAGCAGAGGAAGCGAAGAAAACACTCGTGCGATTGAAGTCGAGTGTCATTGAGTATGTTGAGCAAGTGCCACAGAGCTCGGAGTTGCATGATTAGGCCGAGTTTCGTAGTACTGCTTGTTTTGCGCTCGACTGTAGTGGTGATTGTTTAGGATATCGACTTCCATGATGAAGATGCTGCTCTGGTTCTAAGATAAGTCTCACATCTCCGAACAGGTTCATGAAAAATGGTTCCTTCAGCCTCTGGAGCTGTGCGTGTCTGGTTTGTATCATTCAAATTACAATCCCTCGCCGCGCTAGTTCCTATTACCAGCTAGTAGAATATCCCCTGTTTTGTGTACTACCATATGGAATGTTGCAATGGCAACTTAAGTTCACTTAAATCGAATCATTTTCATCGAAATGAGTAATTAAATGTAGTGCCTTGATATTGTCGTTTGTGAATTTCTTCTGTTTTTTTCAATCAAGGCATAGAATTTCGTTTCCAGGATTAGAAATAGTCATGCTCAAACAAGTCAAATAAATATATGAACAGACCCGGGCGCTTCAGTGGATCATGACTGCACAATTTTCACAAGGATTCAGCTAAATGTGAAGCATTGACGATCGAGTCTCTTTTGCTCATTGCATATCGAAATTAATTTGACAGGGTTAGCATAAACCACGGAAACAAGGAATTTGCGTGTGTAGGGCATGCTTACCTTTGAACTACATTTTTGTCCAGCAGGGAAAGTTATTCAGACACAAATATTGGTGACACATGGCACCATAACTCACCGAAGGAAATAATGACCAAAAAACGTTTTGTTGCCAGCTTACCGAATTTCCCTAACTTTGATTCCTCTAACTAGATGCCAATCTTCGAAGCTCATGCATGTATCAACCCGTGGTTATTGCAAATCATGTGTGCTTTACAATCGTCGATTATAAAGTCTGGCCAGCTCGATTAACTATCAGGGATAACAAGAATAATGGAACTTTACAATCTTCACCGTTTAAGTGAATCAGACGCGCACCCTTCGATGCAAAAGCGCATATGCCAAGTCACATGGAAGATCTGGGCGAACCTCCGCTGTTCTCCACCTCATCACCTCAATCGGATAATGTTATATTGCTCGTGATCCATCGCTGTTCGCAGCATTGCAAGCTTCCTCCCCTATCCATTACCTGTGTTTTCATTCAGTCTTCCTTAAAACTGCAGTTGGTGTGGTAGGTTGCGATCGAGTTCAGGAGCTAGCTATTCAGCTGCGAGTACCGTTCACAGCCGTGAGTGCCTCCTTTGATCCAGCGATTATTGGCATTGATTTGACAGTGTGTGATGTTCAGTTAAACGGCGAATGGACTTGGGAAGTATAATTGCTAACCGTAGGCTTTTTCTTAGTTTGTTCGCCTTCGGTCCAGTTGGCACATTGGTGATTGCTCTAGGCATTTCTTTCGGTCTTTTATTTTAGGAACGGGCGTTCTCTTGTGTATGAAAAAGAAATGAATATGATTTGAAGGTCAACCCAAGAGTGATTTGCAGGAGATGATGGACATTTCCGATTACTCATGACGGTCTTGAATACCATGGTTTTCTGTCGCAATCTTCTGTTAATGTTCACACTAAGTTCAAGATGTTTGACAGAATAGTAAGTGGTTTGTTAGATAGCTTATTTTCTTGGTGTTGAACCGCTGACCCTAGAATCCCAATGTTGAGGTCCTCCTGCAAATGAGGTTGGAGTAGCATATGTAGGTCGAAGGAGATTCGTACTTTGTGATCTTCGAAGCATTGATTAGGGAATCATCCTTTGCATGTCTTAACATTGATGAGATAGATTACTTCCATTGTGTTGCCAGATTTAAAGCCAAGGCCATGGCTGCAGCAACTCAACTAGCCATGTCTGCGTCTTCATTCCTTTGCCCAACTGCCATCGCCTCGAAGAAGGTTGGATCTAGCAACACACAATATTTTGTCACCCCCACAACCTTAGTCGTGTGTCAGCAAGACAACAAAGAGAGGAAGACCGCAGATGTCTCCCGCAGGTAAAGCCCAACCATTGTTTATCATGTTTCAAAATGCATCAGATACTTGCACTTGAGCCACATTTTCAGTCCATCAGCTATCTCTATCAAGTCTGCGGCGTCTGTTTTGAAGATCCTCTTTCAAATGCTAGTCATCCACTTAGAATCCATCCCCTTTTCAATTTGGAAATCTCTTCACGCCTCCAAATTCTTGCCACTTTTCTTTTCTTTACTTTATCGTCATTTAACAGTATTTCTATGCAGAATATTTGCAGCAGTAGCTACTTCAGTAACAGCCTTGGGCGTATTCGTCCAGCCCGAGGCTCAAGCTAAACGCAACAAGCCAGTAGAGGAGAAAAAGAAGGAGGAGACGGAGGATAAGTCACTCAGTGCTTACGATGCCAGGTTGCTAGCCAATGCCAAGCGCAAAGAAGCCATGAAAGCCAAAATCGATGCCGCAAAAGCTGCGGCGAATCCCATTGCGTCAGCTGAGAAGTAAATGCCGCAAGGCATGTCTGTAATTTGTATGTAGTTTAGTGCTCGGCCCTTATATGTACGAAGCTTTTTCCTGTACACACGCAGGTAAAACTGTAAAATGTATCTGCACAACCGTTGAAATTCAGTTTCCACACTTGCGTGAGGAAGAATGATGAGAAAATCCACGCTTTGCCTGCCTCCATTCTTGGTTTTCTAGAGTCATTACGAGTTGGATGCCCTCTCTAACGTGTAGATCAATGCTTGCACTGTGTCTGTATTTGTGCTTGTTTGTGCATTCGTGCTTTTGGGTTTCTCACAAAACAAACACTTTTGAGGAGCAATTGACATCAGTTATAGAGAACACAACTTAGATTTGTTCTATACTTCAGGCCAATTTGCCTGGGGAAGCGGCTACTGGGCTCCTCCCCTACCGACAAGCCTGCGATGTGTCAGTAGTGACCGTTCGTGGAATTCCTAGTTGCCATGAATAGACCCCAATGTTGGTGTGTTAAGCCAAATTCACAAGGTGTGCAGGACAAGAGAAATGTTAATGAATGTAATTCTAATAGCTTGCAAAAAATGATCTAAGATATAGATAGATCACTTTAATATTCCTCTTTAAACATTGCCCATTGCAAAAACCTTCTAAAGGAAGAACAAACTAGAAAGAAAATAAACAATAGAAGTTGAATGGTTTATTAGCAACATAATCTTGGAGTTTATAAATCCGAGAGCAAGGGTTGTTGATAAATCAAGGCATAATTGAAATAATATATTTTTTATTTTTATTTTTATTATTTTTCCCCCTATCCAATAAATTATCAATTTTTTAATGTTATTTTAATAAAAATAGAATACCATTATTATTATTACACTAAAAAGACACATACATACATGCATGCATACATACATACATGCTTATGAGGAACACCATTGGATGGAAAAGTTTTATTTGAAAAACCGGACTTAAAATGCTTTCTTGTTATTAGAAATAATGACATTTAACTTAGACGAAAAAGAATATTAGAAAATAATAGTAAAGAGAAGTAAAGAATAATAGAGATTGGTCGTAAATTAATTTGTTTCTGTGGTAGAGTAATGAAGTACCCAGCCATAGTTTTGAGTTTTTTACAGTTTACACAAAAAAAAATCAAATTATGTGTAAAAAAATTCATTTAAATTTAGTGGCATGCAAAAATTTCATTCTGAGCGAGACAAAAATTACTAATCATGAACACCCTAGATAGAAAGCAAAAAAAAAAAAAAAAAAAACAAAACAAAACAAAACAAAAAAAAACAAAACCAAACAAACAAACTGTACACGGGTATACACTCCTTTTGAGAAAGAAAACTACATTATTTTATTTTATTATTGTATTTGCGATTAAATACCTTTAGAAAAATTCAGCCAGATTATTCATGGACAGCATTTTTGAAAACTATGTTAAATATATTTACATTAGATATATATTCATGTTCATATATTTATTTAGATAGGGTACTAAGAAAATAAATGTCCAATGCGTAGGGGATGTTGGTGTCATTGGCTAATACTATGATGGTAATATCAATATCCTAAAGGCATACACGCATGCATATATCTTGCAAAGACATTTTCTGAGACCAATACATCAAGTTTCGAGCGAATCCAATAATAATAAATCAATATATGAAAGAAATTTTCAACCAACCTGCAAAGTGTATCTCTGTTACTGTAACAAATCGCTTTTCAACATTTTTTTTGTTCGGGTTTCATGTCATGCATTCGAAGTTGTTATTGCTTACATATTCAAAAATAATAAGAATAGAAATAAAAACCGGAATTTTGAAGCTTCTAATCATATGTAAGTATTAAGAACATTAAAGATTAATGTTAAATATTACATTAAATATTAAAGATTAACATTAAATATTAAGAACATTAAAGGTTTGGTAATTTTTTTTTTTGTATGAACCTAATTCTCATGTTAACTTTACAATGCACACAAAGTCAAAATTTGCAAGGTAAAACATGTCTTATGCAAAAGAAAAACACCAAGATATCATCATATTACAAAATAACCAATAAAACTGATATCAAGATCAAGTTTGAGAAATGTTTAGGAACCAAAAAAATAAAAATAAATAAAAAATAAAAAATAAAATTAAGAAATTAATTAATATTAACTTTGGCGACATGGATGTGATAAAAGCAAAAGAAACTAGAACAAAAACTACAGAAAGTCAACGGGCGTGGACCACGGACGAACGGAAGACGAGCGTCTGTCGACGGAGCTGGGGTCTCCAGAACCTCATGCCACATCTGATGTCGCCAAAGTTACCGACAGGAGATTTTCGGCACCGAGTCGGCGGAGACACAGCGGCGAGAGAGAGGGAATTGTAACACATTAGGGACACTAGGACGCATGCAGGGATTACAGTGCATTTCGACGCGCAACAAAGATCATGTAACCCAATTCGTCGCAGCGCGACCTGGGATCCCAGCGTCGGAGGAGAGATTGATGCTTTTCCGATGGTGCCACGCGCAGGAGACTGATGTGAAGAATTGGTGACATATCCTGAAGGATGCGTAGTTGTGTCGACGAGTTTAAGAGCTGAGGAAGGATTCCAGCTTCTCCACCTCTTCCACACTCCCGACGTAGAGCGGCACCCGTTGGTGAACCTGCAATACGGTATAACGACAATGTCAGGCACCGAAGTGAATGCAGACAGGGTAGAAAACGGAGGACTAAGTGGGTGGGAGGGTGCGAGTGAGAGAGAGAGAGAGAGAGAGGAATGCGAGAGAGATCTGTGTACCTGCTCGGGTTGAATGTCGAGAATTCTCTGGTGGCCATCAGATCCTTTGCCGCCCGCCTGCTCAGCCAAGTAGCTCATGGGAGCGCACTCGTAGAGCAACCTCAGCTTGCCGTTCTTGCTCTTGGAATCCCGAGGGTAGCCGTAGATGCCTCCATAGAGCATTGTCCTGTGGAAGTCTCCTACCAGGCTGCCGATGTAGCGGGCGGAGTATGGCTTTCCCGAGGTACCGGGGTCCTTCAAGCTGTCGACGTACTTCTTGAGGTTGTCATCCCAGAGGGCGTAGTTGCCTTCATTCATGGAATAGATCTTACCAGATTTTGGAATTTGGATGTTGTCGTGCGAGAGGACGAATTCTCCGTAGAGAGGGTCCAGAGTGAAGCCGTAGACTCCATCACCGACTGAGAGAACGAGGATGACGGAGCTCGAGTACATGCAGTACCCGGCGGACAACAAATTGCTCCCTGGTTGACAGACATTGACGACGCAGTTTTCGGCGATCTCATCAATCTGCGTCATCGCATACAATGTTATTAAGAAAGACCGGGGGTTCAAGGTAAATTGATGAAATATATAAGCACATGGTGAGTGATACATCGAACTTGAAGCGTAGGGAAATGACGATGAGAAATTCGAAGTCTTACAGTTGGCTCCTCTCCGAGATTGGTCAGGCATTCCTCGTTGGGCTTGTAGATTCCCCAGATTGACCCCGTGGAAACAGCAGCATCGATGTTGGAAGAGCCGTCAAGAGGGTCGAACACCACAATGTAGTTGCCAGAGTAGCTCTCCTCCACTGCAACCGGGGTGTCTTCTTCCTCAGAAGCGATGATGCCTGTCCGTCCGCTTGAGCGCAGACAGCTTGAGAACACCTGCATTCAAATGAGCACCAATTTTACAAACAGAGGAAGGCAAGTAATCTCGTAGAATCCTAGCGACATGGAGTGTCACACCGCGGTGAACTAGTGTGGTGCGCATTACTACGATTACAGAGAAAGCCGGAGCGAGATTTATTCACTGGAATTCCTCGCTCAGAATAGATTGCTGGGTTAAGCCTACAAGTGTGTGCTTGATAATCTAGCAGAATACAGATAATTGGTGGGGGTTGGAATTTAGAAGGTTGGCAGGATTACGAAGCAAAGCATGTTGCGAACTGGAATGTAGAGAATCGTACCTCGTTCGAAATAACGTCTAGCTTCTTCTGGTCCTCCCCTTGAATGTTAGCAGCTCCTTGCAACCCAGTCATGTTGGAGATGCCAGCCCTCTGCACCAGAGACGCAATTTGCTTGCAAGCCAGGGCGATGCTGGAGAGCACAATGGTGAGCTCGCCATCGATGACGCCCGCCTGCTCTTTCTTCAGCAACCACGTCGTCAGGGTAGTGATGTCATACTGGCTCTTCGCCTGCTGCTTGGGAGCGGCAGTCTCAGCTGCAACGGCGGCCCTCACGGCAACGCTCTTCCTCTGCACGCTCACAATCTGTTTCCCAGCTCCGAGTCCGGCCACTGAGCCATGCAGCGACGATCCTGCCACTGAGAGACAAGTTTTGGTGGACGCCGGGCTCCGTGACGAAGTCTCGCAGCTGGAAGCCGGGGCTATGGCAAGGGTGGCAGAGAGAATCGCTTGTGTGGTCGCCATAGCTGCTTCAGCTCCTCGACAACGCACAAAGCAAGAAGGAATTCGACTCTCAATACACAATCACACACAAACACACACACACACTTACTACACCACCACCACCACAACCACCACTTGGCTGGTATCAATTACATCGAGACTGTGGGGTGGACATGGATCGAAACACCGAGGAATGAAAAAACTTATCCACAAACCCATTCAGGTTCTAAGAGATTTGGGCCTCTGAATCCCAGAACCAGGATGTTGCGATGGATTGCTCATCGCTCTCTCCAAGCTGCCCATTGACTTCACACCATTCTCACGGTGCCACTCAGATATTCATCTCCTGGCTGGATGGAGAGTGCACATTCGGCAATGACAATCTTCCGCCTTTTTTGTATCCTTCCAGATATTATCAAATTTATAAATAAAATATATATAAAAAAATAAACGATATCCTACTGATGGGATTTTTTTTTCTCTCACTTTCTTCCTCTTTTTGCTGCTCTACCGTTTCATAGTTCTCGGCTATTTCATGTAAGTTTGGTGAAGTGGCTGGTGATTTTGTTGCATGGGTTGTATTCTTTGTTGAGGAATGAATGATTTTATATATATATATATATATATATATATTGTCTTGGGATTGCCCCATCAGAGGCTTTTAGTGGTTTATTATCTTTAACATGATTTTGGGAAAAAATAGGTGTTGAAGAATTGCATAAAAGTCATCCAATATATACTCTGTAAAGTTTTAAGATCTTCCATAATTCTGTCTCTTATGGCATAGGTTTATAAAATTATTTTTTGAATAAGAAACGTTCCTTTTTCAATTTTTGTTTGATGAATTTCACAATATTGCAATCAGAAAAAAGCTGAGATTTGGGCTTTTGAATGTTTGACATAGCACAAATGTGTTTGTGTGTATGTTTCTTTTTACTTTATTCTTTTCACTTCAGTATTGGTGCACCAAATCCTTAAACAAAAGCTTCTAAGTTTAATTGTTTACATCAGAATTTCTTCTTCTTCTTCTTCAGTTGTTTGTCTTCTACATGTTTTTAAGTTTAAAATAGTCATGATTTAAGACACAATCTATTTAACAAATCAATTCATAAATCAATTTTTTCTTGATTATTATACTCTTTAAATGTGCTTGTTTGACCAATATTTATAAAAATATATTATAATTCATTGGAATCTTTGAAATACAAGTGAAGTTGTGTTTATTATTATTATTATTATTATTTTAAAAGTTTTATGGCTATAGTGCACAAAATATATACATTTTGTTTAATAGAATCATGTTATATAAAGAAACATGTTTTATCTACAAATATCAAATACAAAAATTGATGATTTAATTGAAACAGTAACTTCATGCAAGATTGATAAAAATGTAGAAAACAATTATCATATTAAAACACATGAATCAATCAAATAGTTATTACTAAGATGTAAAAAGACTAAGATGCCACAAGAAGAACAAGACCAAAGAGGGTTTTATTATTTTTATTTATTTACACTACTTTTAGGGTTATTACTATTTGCCTAAATTTATACTAATAATTTGTATAAAGAAGTTTTATATAAAATTTCAATTCTCAAATTCTTATCAAAAGCATATAAAAGGTTGCTAAATTATTCTTATTAGAAAAAAAGAAGATTTCATTTTCTTTTTGAACAAACTAAAATCAAATGGTTGTGACAAAAAAATACAAATATTTTAATACAAAAAAAATATCTATTGATTTTTTTTACTGTAATATAAATTTTATAAAAAATATATTCAAATATTATGATTTATTCCGGATAAAATTTTTAAAAAAAATTCAAAGCATCTAATATTTACTTCAAAAATTAAAATAAATGAATAAATAAAAATAAGACAATATGAAAGTGAATTGTAAAAATGTGATATTTATGAAAAATATTTAAATTACTAAAATTAAATATTTTTTCTATACTTAAGATAATTTCTTTTTTTGTAATTCTATTTAAATGAAGCATTTTATATGTCATTTTTAAAATTAATTTTAAAGTTTTAAATTCATAAATTGGGTTGATATTAATTTAAAGATGTGAATATTGAAAACACATCTATAATATTTTTATTTTTAGGATTTTCATAAAGCTTAAAAAAATTATCATTTTATATTGAATACATTTAAATGTTTTTACTTGTATTTTAATGATATTATTTTATCCTTAGAGAAAAAAATATTTATGCAATTGTTGCATAGAAGATTAAAATTTTGATAAATTTTTTTCACAAAATGTTTCTTAAATTATATACTTCTAAATACTATTTTTAACCAAATAATTTATTTTTTAGATAATTTATATTTGAAATTACTTAATAATTTTGAGGATTTTAATTTATTTAATTTATCATTTGAAAAAATAATTTTTTGATAATTTTTTAATACTATTAACTTCAAAAATAAAATTTCATTCACATAAGAATTTTTATATTTTTAAAATATTTTAATAAATCAAAATCTATTCTAACATTAAATATTAAATCATTTATCAAATAAATAGAAATATGGTTTTTTAATATAAAATATAATTTATTATATTATATTTTATTAATTTATAAGTAAAAAATAAAAATAACATTATAATATAATAAAAATGATTAAATAAAAAAATAATTGATATAAAAATATTATAGTTATAAAGATAAAAAATATTATACTTCATAAATACAATTAAAACTAATCTTAACTATAATTAAATAATAAATTTAAAATAAGTAGTTAAATATATCACTTTAATAGTATTAAATTATTTTAAAATATCAATAAATATTTATCAAGCATATAATTTTTTCTAAACTTCCAATGCAAATTTTAACAAAAAATAATTTGACACAACATTAAATGACATGTTATGTTTATATTTCATAATACAAATTACTATTATTATTTTTGTACATACAAGTCTTAATGAATGTTTTTATTTAATATTATTTCCTTTTATTATCAATGTTAAAATTTAAATCATCACATATATTTTTATAAACTAATACAAAATATTATCTTGAAGAAACATGACTACTATTAAATTATTAAATAAAAATCAATTAAATTTTCTTTTTAAATAATATTTTGTTTAAAACTTTGCTTGCAGAGTTTCATTGTATTTTTTAATAATATATTATTTTTTAAAATAATTTTATTTTTAAATTAATTATATTATCTAAAATAGAATATGTAATAATTTCTTTTAAATTCCTATATTTATTGCTATAATATATTTTATAATATGTTGGTATAACTATGATAGATTTGTGTATCACTTAAATAAAAAAAGTTAATAAAAGTATGTAAAAACATGTTAGGTAAATTATATCTTTAAATTATATCTTTTGGTTTTCTTATATGCCATATATTTATTAACACTTCTCCTACAAGTTTTTTCACTACTCAGAAGCCACATTAAAAGAAACCTACAACTTGACTCTTAAGCTACAAGCTTGATTTTTAAATAGCTTCTCAAAGACCTTCTTGGTAGCTAATATATATGGAGGTAAGAATAAGGCTATTCTCAATCTTCTCAACACCTATTTTGTATTTCACTATTGCTTTAAGATGCTCTAACTCTTGGAATTTGGTAAAAATCATTCAGATTTTTTCCTATTTAATATTTACCTCTTTTTTGCTTATTATTATTACTAGTATTTTTCTTTTTTCAATGACACATGAATATATTAAATTTTTGAAATTTATAGAAAAATCTCTAAAAAGAAAATATACTCATGTATCTTGAATAACTTGTCTAAAAAATTAAATCTAGATTATTAAAAATATTATATTATGCATTTATTAATCCATAGAGAAACTATATTTTGTTTTATTTTATTTTTTTTAAGTACCACAACAACCACTTAAGTTTTTGTTATGATGCTTTTTTTTTGGAATCACTTAATTACTACTTTGATGTACAATGATAAGATTCAGTACACTCCTATTATTTTCATTTGAATAACAAATATAATATTCTATTAAAAATACATCTACTAATATATATATATATATATATATATTTATATATTTGGTAATTATCTCAAAATTCCAAAAAAATCAAAAATTTATAAAACATCTATTAGAATTCAGAAATAAAAAATCTAATAAAATTTAGCATATTTCTAAAAACAATTGAGTAAAACATATTAGTTTACATAATAATTTTTTTATTATTTAACATAGAAGAAACTTAAACTAGGTTTTAAAAAATAAATGAACATTTAAAATAATATAAAAGTTATTCTTGTATTTAAAATTTTAATACTTTTTATCTATCACAATTTTTTTTTTCTTAAAAACTAATAATATTCTTCTACTATGGAAACCTTTATCTTTATAAAGTTAAAATTATAGCTTTATCTACACATATAATAAATGCTCGTTATGTTATTCATAATGTATCTAAAAATTTATTTATTATTACATTTTATTTTAAACTTCTAAATTTATAAGTTTTTTTCAAATCAATTTTTATTTATTTTATAATTTAAACTCTACATGATATATAAAATCCACAAATATACCTTTATATTGATCCAAAAAAGCTTGTATAAAAGTGTAGAATACGTAGTTATTTTCAGAATGTAGATATCTAGTGTATAGTGTAAACAGGGATAGATAACTGTTGAAAAGGTGGTTCAGCAGATAGAATGGATGAATAGTCAGGAAAAGTAGTTATCATCTATAGTATAGGAGTTGGTATCTTAGGGTAGTATAAGGAGGATGGGAGAGGAGAAGAAAATGCCAAACTATGATAGTACTGAGCTGGGGATAAGCTTGATGCTATCTCTTCTTCTTAGTTTTCTTGTTTCTTTTGTGTTAGTGTTGATTCTAGTGAAGAGAATCGATTTAATGAATTAATGTTTGATTTACGAAGTTGTTTATGGATCACTGTTTATCAATTGTTATGAAAGATTGAGGACGTATAGAAGTTTCCAATCACTATTTATTGCAAGGTTGTAAGTTTAGTGAAGAGGAATTGTAATGGAAGGAATTGTCTTGATTAGATTCTATGGATTGGAAGTTATTCATTCTAGGGTTTGGAATATGCTTGTGTATTTGTGAATTACACAGGGTATTGAAATCGTTGTCGTGGATGTTATTGTATTGATATGAGAGAGTGGACAGTAGGATGAAAAGTTAAGTGTTCTTCAGTATGGTAAGCATTCAGCAGTAGCGGTTAATTGCGTGACCCTAGCAATTGGAGCTCATATACATGGTCATTCCGCATGTTCGAATCCCCCTATATGGGTTTATTCTG